AGAGAGAAACACAGAGACAGCAAGAGACAGAGAGGAACAGAGAGAGAATATGTGTGTGTGTTTGAGCGTGCGTGCGTGCGTGTCTTAAATGGATGATAGAGAGAGATGATATACGCTCTTGTCTTTTACTAGTGAAGACTTCTGTGCTTGAGAACATTTGAACCCCAATTCATTTCAGATGATCCAAATGAGACAGATGTGCACGGCTATTATGTTGTGAATTATCTGGAGCGGCAACGACGAAAATGTGTGAACCCAAATGTTCTGAAAATGGTGGTCTTGGGATGCAAGGTATATATGCACTTTTCTGCTAGAAGAACTTTGTACAGTTTCCTGATTCAGTCTGTAGTTTTATTGCTTTTATTTCACTTGCTTGCATTAGGTGAATTTATGTCAAAAGAAAAATAGAACCATTAGCGATGTAGACAATGTTTTGTGTATCTATAAAAAAGAAATTGACAAGTGTTTCTTATGCTTGGTAGTTAACCATTTCTGCGACTTCAGGCGATTTTTGTGATTCTATTTCTTTTTTTGGTTTGTTTCAAAATTAATGAGATATTTGGACACGAGTTTATTTTTTTGTTGAAATTTTCTGGAAAGTTGACTGGGTTTTTGTTTTTGAAACAATCATTTTTCTGTACTTTGTTTCAGATTTGTTAGTGTGTCCAAATCATCTCTTTTGTGGTACATGGGTGGTTGGCGAGTGCTCTGGTGTGGTTTGCTCCTTCTTTCCTATCAAACATCTATCATCCTTATCTCCCCTCCTTTTTGTGTATGTTACTCTCTTGTAACACCTCTAATCTTCTGGCGCTCATATGACCTTATGCAGTTGGGAGCGACGTAAAACCTCTACTAAAACTAAACTATGATTCCATTTTTTTGGGGGCTTGTTTCAAAATTAATGAGATATTTTGGACACTGTGTTTTGTTGTTGAGATTTTCTGGAAAGTTGACTGGGTTTCTGTTTTTGAAGCAATCATTTTTCTGTACTCCGTTTCAGATTTGTTAGTCTGTTCAAATGGTCTCTTTTGTGGTACCCGGGTTTCAATTGAAATGTCATTTATTTCTTTATTATATGTGAGGCAGCATGGTGGAATCAGGCTCTCGTCAATTTTTGGTCATATAGAGTTATTTGCATCATCTTAAAGCATGTTCACTTGTGTTTATTTGGATGAAAAAAAATCAATTTATCTTGAATACAAGTCGAGATATTTTTGCGAATGAAGGAGGTGGGGGTCACCTGTTTGCAGGGGCGAAATTAGTGAGGAAATGGCCGTCAAAGATTAGTTATTTCCTTAGCTTAAGAGTCCGCCAGAAATTAGTTCTTTAATGGGCATGAAAGGTGTTATGCTAAAAAAACAAAAATTTGATAAAAATTCACAAACCAGCAGAAAAATGCTAGTTTCTTCACTTTGATTATTTTGACGAGAGCCTGATTCCACCACGCTGCCTCACGTATTACTGTCGAGTTGATTTTTTTTTCCTTTGGTTTTTTTTTCAGAATCAAGGCGGGCATTGCATTGTGAAGCAGCTGGTGGATTCAAAGCCACCAAAAAATAACCCAGAATCCCATACAGTGAGAGAGTTAACTTATTTTTTGTAGATTTAGATGAAAACATAATTTTGTTGTTTCGTTTCGTTTCGTGGACGAGTAAGGTCATTTGTGTAGGAGTAAGGTCGTTCGTGTAGGAGTAAGGTCGTTCGTGTAGGAGTAAGGTCGTTCGTGTAGGAGTAAGGTCGTTCGTGTAGGAGTAAGGTCATTCGTGTAGGAGTAAGGTCGTTCGTTCGTGTAGGAGTAAGGTCGTTCATGTAGGAGTAAGGTCGTTCGTGTAGGAGTGAGGTCGTTCGTGTAGGAGTGAGGTCGTTCGTGTAGGAGTAAGGTCGTTCATGTAGGAGTAAGTTCGTTCATGTAGGAGTAAGGTCGTTCATGTAGGAGTAAGGTCGTTCGTGTAGGAGTAAGGTCGTTCATGTAGGAGTAAGGACTAGTAGCCTGTTGTTTAGCCTGGACACAGAAGTATGTCAGCACAATCACCATGAATTAGGTAACATTTATCAAAAGTTTTTCTGAAGAAGACTTGGTATTTGTATGATTTAAATCTTCTGCTTATATCGTTTTGTACTCTTTTATGTGAGGGTGCAGTGGCAGAGCAGTTAGTGCGCTCGTTTCCGAAGCGGAAAGTCCGGGTTCGACCCTCGGTTCGGACACACACAGATATTTTTCGCCCCCTCCTGCCCACCCAGCAGTAATGGGTACCTGACTTCGAGTTGGGGAGGTAAAGGCGGTGTGGAAAGGAAATGGCCTCCCTACCACAATATGCCGAAGGCCCAGGAAGTTGTCTCACTAACAAGGCAATCAGCAATGTCCGGATCGGATGCGGGAGCAACTTTACTTTTGACCCTTTTATGTCCTTCACTAAAAAGGTCACATAACTTCACAGTAGTCTTTACTATCTTCAAAGATTGCACATAACAAGATAGTTCACTCTGCCAAAAAAGTGTCCGGGAAAGTCCACGCCTTGGTACAGATGGCGCTGCAGTCTTTGTTTGGAAGCTCTCTTTCGTTTCTCCAGAAAAAGAATAGGAATACCAGTTTTTTCATTTTACTTTTATTGTTTTTCACACAAGTAGGGTAACTCTGTTCGCAAAGTCCACGTTTTTTCTAAGAGGGCGCCACCGGATTTTGAGGACATTTTTTTAATTGGCCGAAAGATAGGAGTGAACTATCTTATTATGTTCAATCTTTGCCTCCACTAAAAAGGTGGGATGACTTCACAGTAATCCTTACTATCTTTCAATTTTGTTACGTCTGTTCTAATCTTGTAAATTTTACTTTAGTAGTTCCAGTTCTGGGTGAAATTTCTTCAGTTAATCCTTGGGCTGGGGCAGGAAGACCTGCTTTGGGGATTCTCGTGGCCTAGAGGTTAAGGTTTTCGCCTCTCCTTCAAAGGTCGCGGGTTCGAATCCGGGTAGCAACGGAAAACTTTTCTTCTCTAAAATTGTCTCCTTTCACCTCCTTTCCTGCTCTCTAGCAATGTTCTGTTGTCTGCTTTCGTCTCCTCTTTCTGCCCCCACTACCTTACCTCCTTTGCCCACTCCTCTGGGTTCCTGACTCTTTTTGCAGCCTTTCTACTGCTTCTTGGCTTCTTCTTACTGCTGCCTTTCAGCCACACTCCTGATCTTCTGGTAGGAAAGATCTACACCTAGCCCTCTTGGACAAGGGCGAAAAATCTCTGAGGTCCTGTGTGCAAGTTGCACACGTTAAAGATCCATTGGTGGTCTAAAATCGATAAGAGTAGGCCGCCACCCGAGCAAAATTCAAAATTTCCTACTAACTGAAAATGTTTCATGTGTCTCGCCCGCTCATATGACCTTATGCAGTTACGAGCGCTGTAAAACATTTACCAAAAAAACCCCCCCCAAAAAACAAAGACCTGCTTACAATCCAGAGAATGAAGCATCCGTTAAAAAAAATTCACATACGTGGAAAAAAAAGTGACATGTATTGTGAGAGAAATAACAGTCTCAACATACCTAACTGATGTCTTTGGAAATGTGATTGAATTATGAGAACAAGCAAAATTGTGCCTAATTCTGTCAGACTCGTAACTAAAGCATGTTACAGACAAGAAATGTGTTTACCTTGGAATTTTTGGTTTTCTTAAATTTGTTTTTAAAATGTTGTTTTTTTGGTTTTGTATTTGTTTTTTTTTACAGGACCTAGCAGTTTTTGAATGGACTTTGGAAGAGGGGTCTTTTTTTTGGGTAAGACCTTTCTATATCCTTCTATTAAGTTCATGACAAATAGTTGAGTTGCATTTCTGTTGACAGGCTTCTTAAAGATTAAGATAATATAAGATCAGATAATACTTTTTGATCCCAGAGGGAAATTTTGCTTGGCAGTACAGGACCGTATAAACACATGCAGGTATACATGAAAAATTTAAATTATATATTACTCTCATTAAAATTCAATATGAAAAGAGAAGTAAAGCTGATAAAATGTACATTCACATCAGATGCATCATTCAACCATATGCAGGAATTTCATTACAAGACCTTTGAAGTTATATACACAGGTACATACTCTAAAGAGCAACACACATCTATGCTCATTCTGACAAAAGCCTTATGCTGGATGGTAAAAAACTTCTTTTCTATCTTTCTTTCTTTGTTTTTGGAGGTACATATCTGCTTCTGCGTGATCTTACAATATGCGTAGGAAGGGGGGGGGGGGGTGTGTGATGGGTCGTTTATAATGTTTTTTACCTTTTTTATACGTGGGGTGTTATACATTTCATCAATTCAAGTAAAATCATATCCAGAGATCTTGCTATGCTGGCTTTCTTAATGATTAAGACTTCAATTCTCTTTTCTAAATACAAGTGTACATGAACTGCACTAAGAACATATGATATATGTGTCGCACTGGGGTTGTTTGCCATTACTGTATTTAATAAGACAAAAGTAAAAACTCCGTGGCGTCGGTAGCCTAGTGGTTAGGCTACCGGACTCGTAATCGTCAGACTGCGGGTTCGGGGATTCGAGCCTCAGCTCGGTCCGACGTTGTGTCCTTGGGAAAGGAGGCACTTTACACGAACTTCCCACTTGGCTCGGTCCTATCGGAGACGGACGTTAAACTAGGAGGTCCCGCCCCTTAAATAATCTAAAAGTGTTGATAGGGGCGTTAAACTCATACCATTTCATTTTTCAAAAACTCAGTTTCTAGATGAAGAAGGTTGATTTAATGATGAAAATGACATGAGGTCTGCCCTCTCTGGCTTCACTGACAAGACTAAATCATAATGAGCATGAGCACATGTGGTTAAAACAGGAAGGAGGAGTGAGTAAAGATCACAAAGATCAGACAATCTTTGTTGTGAGGGTAGATAAAATAAAAGTACAATTACAGGGACATGATTCAAGTTAATCTTGGTAATATAGGGAGCAACAATCCAGGATTTATTGTTGCCCTTCTATAAAAGCAATCTAATAGTCTAACAATATGAACAACAATTTAGACATGATTAAAGAATTTTAGCAAGTCTTTCACAATTGCAGCAGAAAGTATATAAACTTCAGTAACTTTTGTTTATGCAACCACTCTCAGGAATATTAAACTTAATTTGGATAATGTCTTTTTTTATTGGTGGTTGGCGGGTGCTCTGGTGTGGTTTGCTTCTTCTTTCCTATCAAACGTCTTTTGTCTTTATCTCCCCTCCTTCTTTTTTGTGTTTGTTACTCTCTTGTAACACCTCTAATCTTCGGCACTTATAAGACGTTATTGTGTTGCAAGTGTCGTAAAACTCTTTACAAAAAAAAAAAAAGACTTTTTTTTCTCAATTAATGGCCTTTAGTAAACAACTGCCACAATGTTCATCCATTATATCAGTAATATTGTACCGAAGGAACCTTTTGGTTTTTAAACTGTCATATTCTGTTTGTCGTTTATGTCTGTAATTTTAACCGTCATATGTTTGTTGTTTATTTTTGTAATTTAAACTGTCATATGTTCATTCGTTTTGGTGGGTGGTTGGCAGGTGCTCTGGTGTGGTTCGCTTCTTCTTTCCTATCAAACATCTATCGTCCTTATCTCTCCTCCTTCTTTTTTTGTGTTTGTTACTCTCTTGTAACACCTCTAATCTTCGGCACTTATATGACCTTATGCAGTTGCGAGCACCGTAAAACTCTTACTAAAACTAAATTGGTTATGTGTGTAATTGTGCATCAGGGAAGCAGACGAAGCGTGTCGGTACAAGTCTGGGAGTTACCTGCCCTTAGAACGACAGCGACGATCCTGCCGTGCTTTCTCACCCTGAACTCTCTGTACCTGCTGATTCATGACGCCACGGTGAATGAGGACAACCTGAAAGAGCTGTCAGAAACGATATCATGTATACAGGTGTGGTGATACTCCCTCAACTGAAAAGTTTTGTTTGATTTTTTAAAATTTCGGTATCTTATTATTGTTTTTGTAAGGTCATGCTCTTTGAAAGTAGTAAAAGAAAACACTGTCTGGAGATGTCAAGGTTGTGTACTGTAATGAGATCTTCTTCTTCTTCTTCTTCTTCTTCTTCTTCTTCTTCTTCTTCTTCTTCTTCTTCTTCTTCTCGATCGCATCACACTTGAAGTCTGGTATCTGTCATAAATTGGGCAGTCCTGTTCAGTTCATCTGTCGGCCCGTATAGCTTCACTTGCAGCGTTAGTGGGGTTGGCCACGTTTCCTGTCTCAGGGCCCTGTGTGTCTTGCAGTGCTGAAGGATGTGTTCAACAGTTTGGTCCGCCTCTCCACACTGGCATTTTGGTGATTGTACTAGTTTAAAACATTTGTACATATGTTGTCTCAGTCTTGTGTGTTGTGTCCTTAGTCTGAAGATAATCACTTGTTCTTGGCGGGACAGCTTATGGTAGCCATCTGGTGTCTGAGGTGCTTTAAATAGTGTACTTATAAAAGAGATGATAAGTGCTATCTAATCCTAGATTCTACTCGTTAGTCTATCTACATTGGTTTCAATACTCACTGTTTCAAGCGGGGTACGATGAGTGTGGGTCGTACAGGTCCGGAGCTCCGTTCACTGCGTCGACCCACCAGTAGCGTCAATCCCTGCTCAGCCTAGATTTAAGTCGTGGCTCGGAAGGCCGGTTTAACCTTCGCGTCCGTTTATATATACCCCCCCCCCCCGTGCTCCCTTATTCTCCTACACTCACTAGGCTACACTGAGTTTGGTCACTTATTTCACGTGATTCTGGCTTGTTTGGGGATCACAGCGAATTTTAGACCACATGTACAATGACATGTCTAATTGTGAAGTGTGCTGACAAAATGAGTTACTTCTCGGATTTTAGCCCTATAGAAATAGATACATCACGCTTATAGGTGAAGCTTTGACATCTATAAGTATGACATAATAAAAGGCTTGTTAGAATCTATATTTTAAGAAGAAGGTATCAAAAGAAAACCTACAAATTTCACCGTAGTGTCGATTTTTGGCCAACATCTCCATTTGTGGATTGCGACAAATAACTAATTAATTTTGTCAGCTCGCCTCACAATTTATATTCTGATGGACCAAACATGTGTGTTTTGATGGTTCTCGGGGGTATGTCTTACCGTTATACTTTTTGAGCTACATTGAAACTTTGGTGGGTGGTTGGCGGGTGCTCTGGTGTGGTTTGCTCTTTCCTTCCTATCAAACAGCAATCGTCCTATGCTCTTCTCCTTTTTTGTGTATGTGACTCTCTTGTAACACCTCTATTCTTCGGCACTTATATGACCTTATTGTATTGCAAGTGGCGTAAAACTCTTACTAAAACCTAATAAACTAAAAGGTGGAAACTTTCTGAAATTCAGCTGTTAATCTGAATGAAGTGCTCTTGTATACAGAAGTGGCAGGAATTTGGATCTGTGAAATGATCTCGGTGTTGTTTGACATCAGGCTGATCAGTGAGAAGTAGTTGCCCTTTATGTAATAGCAGTCTTGATACGAGATGTATCAGACAAAATAATCCTTGAATGTGAATAATAGATAGATAGATAACATTTTCAAAGAGCAAATCCCCGCTCAACAGCAAGCTCTATGCGCTTCACAATCTATACTATTACCCCAGCAGACCTGAGAGCATTCTGAAACAAACTCGACTTCCTGGGAAGCATACTGTGCAAGCAGCCATTTATAGGCGCTAAAACACTAACGTACTGACAAGATCTTTCCTTGTCTATGGCCGGGTACCTATTTCCACCTGGGTGAAGTTAGGAAAATTCGTGTAAAGTGCCTTTCCCAAGGATACAACATCAGGCCTGCGGCTCGAACCCCCGATATCTGCATTAAAGAAAAATATGCTTGAATAGTGCTTGAAGCTCTGTACTGATAAAGTACTTTAAAAAGTGTTAAGTCTTCTAAAGTATATTTTCAGGAAAACTCTGTTTCTATATATACATGGATTCATAAAGTGCAGTCGTAGAATGGAATAACAAATGCCCAGTGTGTCTGTCTAGTAGGCTGTTTAGGTTTCAGCATTTATAAAATGAAGAAAACTCATACTTTAATGTTTGTCTTGTTAGATTATAACGTACTTCAAGTCTGCTGTATAAATTTTGGAAATGTTGACAGTGTGTCTGTCTAGTAGGGTGTTTAGGTTTCAGCATTTATAAAATGAAGAAAACTCACACTTTAATGTTTGTCTTGTTAGATTATAACGTACTTCAAGTCTGCTGTGTGGGTAATTGGAAATGTTGACAGCGTGGCTTTTTTTGGTGTCATACAGGCCTGCGTTGTGCGCCCCACCATCATCATTCTGTGCATTTACTCAGACGCCATGGACAAATCCTTGAGAGCTTCAATTGAGCAACAGATCTCGGCTCAGGTAAAAAAGGACTTCCACGAATGTGAGCTGATATCCATGGGAAGCAATGAGAAGCCGAGACCTCTGCAGCAGAAAATACAGGAGTGTGTGCGAGAAATGTGTGATGCTACGGTGGATAAAAAGACGAAACTGATGACCAGGCTTGTACCTTCAACATTTCTGGCTGCCATGAAGAAAGGAATGAGCCTTATGGGTGAAGGAATTTGCTCCATGAAACAGTTTCTGGATGGCATTGGGTGCCAGGAAAACGACCTTGAAGACTTTGTTGATAGAAATTTGAAGTGTAAGTTAAGGATTGTTTGATCCATCTCGACCAAAAGTTATAGTTTTTCTTCTCTTGCGATCATCGATTAAGCCTTGTCAGTGTTGGCCTTACTGAAGTATCCTTGATTTATATATTTGTTTAATGTTTGACTTTGAATGAACCTGCTGAATTTATTGAACTCATAATATAGGAATGGTGTTCTGTCTTAGATCAGTGGGTATAGAACAGTGCTGTATTCCTTACAATCTCAAGTTGTAAAAAAAGTGTAAACGGTCAGGGTTTTTTTCTCAGAATATATTTTAAAAATTTAACTTTGAATAGTTGTAAGGAAACGTAACTTTTGTACGTTTAAGTTATCATAAGTATATGCTTTCTCTAAAGCATTGTTCCGTTATTGATATAATCTATATGGCTTTGTGGTTTCCTCTTTTCCAGTACAGGAGTTTCTCCTTCAGAGTGGTGCCATGTTACATTACAACAATTCTCAAGGGGATCTCTGCTCGATGGTGATCGTGAATCCTGGTGTTCTTTTCCGCGTTCTCTCACAGTTTTTGGAGGTGAACGTCTTTCTGTACATCTTTCTATACATCTTTCTATACATCTTTCTATACGTCTTTCTATACATCTTTATGTACGTCTTTCTATATGTCTTTCTATACATCTTTCTGTACATCTTTCTATACATCTTTCTATACATCTTTCTATACGTCTTTCTATACATCTTTCTGTACGTCTTTCTATATGTCTTTCTATACATCTTTCTATACATCTTTCTATACATCTTTCTATACATCTTTCTATGCGTCTTTCTATACATCTTTCTATACATCTTTCTATATGTCTTTCTATACATCTTTCTATACATCTTTCTGTACGTCTTTCTATACATCTTTCTATACATCTTTCTATACGTCTTTCTATACATCTTTCTATACATCTTTCTATACGTCTTTCTATACATCTTTCTATACGTCTTTCTTACCCCCCGGGGCGGTGCTACTGACTGAAGTGTCTTTAGGCCATTCCCAAAGGGGAGACATTAACGTCTCGAGTTCTTATGCACAGTAGAATTGTAATTGTAAATGGGCTCATTCATCAGTGTCATGCTCATTACTGTGCCTGAACTGCAACAGAGAACTGCTGCTTTTTCTTTCCTAATCCTTACTATGGTCATTTTGCCTCTACTTCTTTTGTATGTTTGTCACACTCTTGTGACCCGCTATTTCCGAGGTGCCTAGATAGTCGAAGCAGACTTTGTGCTGTTGAAGCTAGAGAGGTGAGCAGAGTAAGCCCAATTCCCTGTAAGGACTTCTCTGTTGACATTCTCCCCTTGGCGCTCATATGACCTTTGGCTGTTGCGAGCGCCGTAAAACCTGTACTAAAACAAAAACATCTTTCTAGGGGCATGGAAAGATAACGCTTCTAATAACTTTACCGTACTTTCCTTCAATACTTCTGTGACATCAGTTTGTGTTTCTTGATGAGATTCTCTTTGATTGTGGTGAAAACGACCATATAAATATTTTTTGATAGCTGAAATTCGCTGCGAGAAAGTTAATATAAGGTACATAGCTGTCTCATTAGCTCTTTATCTCCGGCTCGTGGTTGGTTCCTCTGTGCCGGTAAATCACTGACAGCGGCTCGGGCACCCTCCTTTACGACGACTTCAACATCAAATTACTTTTCGGAAATTGCCAAAAACAGGTCTCAGCAATTGCCAAAAACAGGTCTCTTATACCGGAAGTTCATTAATTAGATGAAGAACTATCAAAATAGGTTTGCGAGTTTCGATTTAATGACCCATATCATTTAATGACGTTTTTTGTCATTTTTAGATTTTATACCAAAAAGGGGCACCGGCGTAGTGGATTTACCCCCCTCGCAGATAAAGAGTTATTAAGGTCTTTCTGACTTGCTGTAAGTTACAAATGAACAGTTGACAAAAGGATGATCTTTAAATGTGAGGCATCACGGGGAAATCAGGTGCTCGTCAAAATATTTCATGATATTGAAGAAACCAACATTGATCTGCTGGTTTGTCAATTTATAACAGTTTGTTGTTTTTTGGCTCTACAGATTTTACAATATAAAAATTTTATTACATTTCTGTGTAAATTTTACAGAAAAACTTTGATTAAAGGCACTAAAAATCTAAATTTTCAGATTTTAATCCTATCTGTACGTCGTATTTTACTATCGTATTCATACGATGTGGTGAAATCTGTGCCGCCACTTTCAAAGAGGAAATTTACTCGCTTATCCAATCCGTACGCTGTGCATAGCAGTCTGTCAAAATGATTTTTTGAGAAATATTAAAAGTTTCAAAGAGATCTTCGTACTAGAAGTATTCTAAAATGTGAAGAATACAACCCCCGGGGGGTAAAAAATTACCCCAGGGCATACGGATAGGGTTTAAGGGTTCTCCAGCTATGGAATTCACTAGATTTTGGTAGCCATTTTCTCACTAATTTTACTTCTGAAATCAGGGGACCCCCAACTCCTTCAACTGTAAATAACTCGACTTTTATTCAAGATAGATGTTTTCTTTTCACCCAAGACAAGACAAATAAACACACTTTAACCCTATCTGTACATCATGTTTTACTATCGTATCCATACGACGTGGGGAACTCTGTGCCACCACTTTCCAAAGAGGAAATTTACTCGTTAATCCAGTCCGTACGTTTTACATAGCGTTCGGTCAAAATGATTTGTTAAAGAAATACTGAAACTTTCAAAGAGATATTCGTACTAGAAGTATTCTAAAATGTGAAGAATACAACCCTTGGGGTACAAAATGATCCCAGGGCGTACAGATAGTGTTAAGATGCTACCAATAACTTCATGTGCCCAAAAACTGACAAGCGCCTGATTCTACTACTTTGTGATTCGTACCTGTGTGTTTTAATGTATAAGAATCTAATTTGCTCTTGGGATTTTATGTCTCAGCTTCAAGCAGGATCTTATTAGTTCTTTTTGAGTGTTTTGGGAACTTTTCTTTGTCTCAAAGATATTGAAAAAAAAAAGGAAAAGATGAGTCCTTTGCTATACAAATAAGTCTTTTCCCTTGCAGTCCCTGATTGGTAGATTGAGACAGTCCCAGCTTCCCCTTACCGAAGTTCGGAAATACCTCGAGGATGCTTTGCCTTCTGCCCAGAAGGGATACTTCGAGACATTTATTGTACTTTTGGAAGTTTTCAACATTGGCATTCGGATTCCTGGCACTGCTCACGAAGAAATGTAAGTTTGTGTGTACACTACTCACTTCCATTATGCTAACATTGTTGACCCCCCGGGGCAGTGCCACTGACTGAAGTGTCTTAAGACCATTTCCCAAAGGGGGGACATTTTTCGTTCAAGCACAGAAGAATTGTAAATGGGCTGATTCATGTCACGCTCATAACTGTGCTTGATCAACAACGGGGAACTGCTGCTTTTTCTTTCCTGATCCTTACTATTGTCATTTTTCCTCTACTTCTTTTGTATGTTTGTCATGCTGTTTCCGGGGTGCCTTGATAGTCGAAGCAGACTTTGTGCTGTTGAAGCTAGAGAGGTGAGCAGAGTAACCCTGATTCCCTGTAAAGTCTTCTCTGTTGACATCCACCCCTTGGCACTCATATGACCTTACGCAGTTGTGAGCGCCGTAACACCTCTACTAAAACTAAAACACTACTCACTTCCATTATGCAAACATTGTTGTAAAACAGCTTGGGCTTTTTTTTTCAGTTCACTTTCTAGACTTGAATGCAGAGTGTTTGCTGGTGGGTGGTTGGAAGGTGCTCTGATTTGTATGGCATATTATTTTTTTTTTCCTATCAAATATCTATCACCTTTATATCTCCTCTTCCTTCTTTTCTTTGTATGCTACTCTCTGTGAGTGACCCCTCTACTCTTTGGCATTTATGGGACCTAATTGTGTTGCAAGTGCCATAACACTCTTACCAAATTCAAGTTCATTGTGTGGGTGGTTGGCGGGTGTTCTGGTGTGGTTTCCTCCTTCTTTCCTATCAAACATCTATCATTCTTATCTCTCCTCCTTCTTTTTTTGTGTTTGTTGCTCTCTTGTAACACCTCTAATCTTCGGCTCTTTTATGACCTCGTTGTGTTGCAAGTGCTGTATAGTGCTCACTAAAACATAGTACAATGTATACTTTGTAAAATTAATTAAACCTAGATATGGGGGGAGGGGGAGGGGGGGGGGAGGATGTGGTTTGCTTCAGTTTAGTTTAGTTTTAGTAAGAGTTTTACGGCACTTGCAACACAATAAGGTCATATAAGTGCCGAAGATTAGACGAGTTATAAGATAGTGACAAACACAAAAAAGAAGGAGAGATCAGGACGATAGATGTTTGATAGGGAAGAAGGAGCAAACCACACCAGAGCACTCACCAACCACCCACAGATATGGTTTGCTTTAGTTTGGCAAGTCTTTCTTTATAACATCTTGACAGTATGCTGGTCCCGTCCCTGTTGCCCGACTGCCCTCCTGCGCTGCACCTGGCCTCTGTGGGTGGCGGGAAACGGGCCTGCCGGCTGTATCACATGCCCAGCGTGCCGGCTGCCCTGTGGAGTCATGTGATCATTCAGCTCATCTCTGCCTTTGAGCGCTTCTCCAATGTGACGTGGAACCTGGGAAGCAAGAAGCTGTCGCAGTGCAGAATCACCGATAAATCCAAGTCTTTCCGAATGTCTTACAGGAGAAGGTAACTGGTAGCTTATAGTTCAGAGTTTCCGTGACAACTCAGTGTTTATCTACTTGCTTCTTCTGTCCTATCCAACATCTGTCGTCTTCATCTCCCCTCCTTTTTTGTGTTTGTTACTCTCTTGTCACACATCTATTCTTCGGCACTTGTATCATCCTTATTGCCCCTCCTTTTTTGTGTTTGTTACTCTCTTGTATCTCCTCTAATCTTCAGCACTTATATGACCTTATTGTGTTGCAAGTGCCGTAAACACACATACTAAAACTCAATGATTACCTACTGCATTTATGAAAGCAGCAAAGAAAGGAATTTTTGACTCCTTGTTTGTAAGTTAACCAAGGGAAAATGTGTTTGTATCTACAAACCTAAAGTATGTTTCTGTTATTTGGTACCTTGTTTTTTAAGCAATAATTCAGTTTGAAAGTCTCATTTCCAGTTGTTGTATTTCGAGTAAACTCTTTTTGTAAAGGAAGTGGATATTTATACGGCAGGCCGTCGAAAAATCGGAAGTGATAATTCCACGGCACATAAATTCAGCCAATCAGAACATCCGGACTATTTATAATTAATCGGGTCGGGTCGGGTAGGTATGATCACCCGACTCGTCGCCTGGAAAACAAGCACAATTTTTGCATTGATACACTTCAAGCAGAGCCTATGCCGTCGAAATATCAATTCTGATCTTTAGACTCAAGACGGTATACCGTATAGGTATCACTTCCGATGTTCAGACAGCATGCCGTGGGAATATCAACTACGATTTTCAGACGGCAATCCGTCGAAATATCGCTACCCTTTTGTAAAAGCTGCAGTCCTACGGTGAAATGACAGATGTGTTAGACAAAGGTTTTTGTCCCGACAGTTTCTTAACTTCTTATTTGTTTAGTAGTTTTGTGTAATAGTTTGCCATGAAATTTCTTGTGATTGACAGAAATGTGCCATAGATTGATTTTGAAGACCACGCAGTTTTGCCGAAAAATTCTGTCTCAGATAGATTTTGAAACTCACAAAATGTTTTTGCTAGAAATTCTATCAAAAGGCTGTTAGTTTTGAGTTCTGCTGTTCCCTTTCTGTTGTTGTCAGTCCCGGTCAGTCCCGCCAGCCTTTTTTTTTCTCTTTAGGGCTCCAACAAAAAAATTTTCTTCTTCTTCTCATCTTTAAATGGACATCCCAGTCTCTCTAGTGTGACCCCCCCCCCCCCCCCCCCCCCGGGCAGTGCTACTGACTGAAGTGTCTTTAGGCCCTTTCCCAAAGGGGGGACATTAACATCTCGAGTTCTAATGCACAGTAGAATTGTAATTGTAAATGGGCTGAGTCATCAGTGTCATGCTCATAACTGTGCCTGAACAACATTGGGGGAACTGCTGCTTTTTCTTTTCTCATCCTTACTATCGTCATTTTTCCTCTACTTCTTTTGTATGTTTGTCACACTCTTTTGACCCGCTATTTCCGGGGTGCCTAAGTCAAAGCAGACTTTGTGCTGTTGAGGCTAGAGAGGTGAGCAGAGTAAGTCTGATTCCCTGTAAGGACTTCTCTGTTGACATCTACCCCTCAGCGCTCATATGACCTTATACGGTTGCGAGCGCCGTAAAACCTCTACTAAAACAAACCAACAAGCTTGCAGCAAATGGCTCCCTGTTTTGTTTCTGATGCTGCACTGACATTGTTTTGAATTTCCAATCTTGAACTTTGCAACAAGGATATTTCATTGCTGTATTGTAACCAAAGAAAAATATTGCCCCCCCCCCCCCCCACCCACCCACTGTGAAAAATCCCAAAAAATGTAATATTGAATAAATGTATTTTGGTCACATCCTGTTTTCTTTCAGTGGAGGAAGTATGAAAGGTCTTCACATCATGAACAAGAACATCCAGTACTGGCAGACGGGAATCATGGTCATTCACGGTCAAGGCTTTGTGGTTGTAGAACAAATCAAGTGCTGTGCCCCAACAAGGTGACCTGCTGTATTACGTTGTCCCCGGCGTTTTATGCAAGAACAATTCTGAAATTATGCAAACTGAGCCCAAAAATGTGAAATTATGCGATTCTGTACTGTTAATTTTAACAAAGAATGATCAAGGAAAATAATCAGAAATTATGCAAAAAATGATCAAATTTTGCTCAATTATGTGGGGTGCTTAAAACCACGTTATTAAATGGGTCATCAAATCGAAATTAGCAAACCTATTTTGATAGTTCTTCATCAAATGAATTAACTTTTCTGGTAAAAGAGAGCTCTTTTTGGCAATTGCCGACAAGTAATTTGATGTTGAAGCTGTCGTAAAGGAATACCAGCAGCTGTTGGCGACTCTCCAGCACCGTGGTTCTGACCGCGAGCTGCTGGGTGCGGCTTGCCGGAGATAAAGAATTAAATTTTGCAAGTTTAAATTTGTAATGAATAGTACTCATAATACGCTCATTTTGCTACAATCCGATGCTGTACTGTGTCCGAGAGGAGGGGGTGGGCCTGACTGTAGATGAATGGGGGGGCCCTGGCTGTAGATGAATGGGGGGGGCCCTGGCTGTAGATGAAAACTCGATCTGCTTTCTGTTTTTGTGTTTGCTCCAAAAGGGGAGAGGAGCTTGGCATCCTGATAACCGTCCAGACAACGGCAGTTGACGAAGGGTCCGACAGTTCTGACCAGCTGTCAGAGGACCACCACAGACGGGTGACCTTGGAGAGACTCGCGGTCATCGGCATTGTCAAGGATGAAGTGGAGGAAGTGTTGGAACTCTTTCACCCAAGTACGTCCAGCTAGTTTTTGTTGGGGGTTTTTTTGTTCCGTTCTTCATTTTCTGAAGGTCCTATTACACGTACAGGTCGACCAGACAGGTTTCTGGGCCGCACGGCCAATCGTAACGTGTAGTAAGAAATGTGGTTCCAACCGTAGGCAAACACCCAGCGAATGGCCGTCCGACCGGATGAAAAAACCCACTGCAGCTGCCTGTGAATTTGACATCCGGCCGTCCGGGATTTGAAGTTTGCTGTGCCAGGGACAACTGAACTTTTTCTTTACTTTTATCCGCCGCTTATACCCTTTTGGGTGTCGCGGGAAGAAAGAGACGTCTCTCTGTCGCCAGCCGGAGCGCTTGGGTCAGGGGGATGCCATAGGTGGTTAATGTTTCCCTGACTCCATCTATCCAGGTCTTTCTTGGTCGCCCTCTAGCCTTGTTGCCAACTGAACTAATTTCAAAATTAGTTATTTTACGAACATAAAAGATATTTAAAGGTGTTGAGCCAAAAAAACAAATACCTTTTAATATCTTTATATATTTAAAGGTGTTGAGCCAAAAAAGCAAAGTGTGTGGTTGGCGGGTGCTCTGGTGTGGTTTGCCTTCTTCTTTCCTATCGAACATCTATCATCCTTATCTCCCCTTCTTCTTTTTATGTTTTTTACTCTCTTGTAACACCTCTAATCTTCTGGCGCTCATATGACCTTATGCAGTTGCGAGCGCCGTAAAACCTCTACTAAAACAAAAGAAAAAACAAAATTTCGATAAAATTTGCCAAACTGGCGGAAATATACCTGTATCTTCGTTTGTATTATTACGAGCGCCTGATTTCTCCTGGATGCCTCACATATTATAGTAAAGCGTACCTGACTTGAAGGCTTGGAATATGATATCTGTGATAGCTGTGGTCAAGTTTGAAAAGAAAAGGTCTTTATTGAAGTCTGTTATCTCGTTTTGAACATCTTTATCATAACACCCCGGGGCGGTGCTACTGCCTGAAGTGTCTTTAGGCCATTCCCAAAGGGGGGGGGGAGAGACATTAACTTCTTGAGTTCTTATGCACAGTAGAATTGTAATTGTAAATGGGCTGATTCATCAATGTCATGCTCATAACTATACCTGATCTGCAACAGGGAACTTCTGCTTTTTCTTTCCTAATCCTTACTGTTGTCATTTTCCTCTATTTCTTTTGTATGTTTCTCACACTCTTGTGAAAATCTATTTCCGGGGTGCCTTGATAGTTGAAGCAGACTTTGTGCTGTTGAAGCTAGAGAGTTGAGCAGAGTAAGTCTGATTCCCTGTAAGGGCTTGTCTGTTGACATCCACCCCTTGGCGCTCATATGACCTTATGCAGTTGCGAGCGCCTTAAAACCTCTACTAAAACAATCCTTTATCATATATATATATATATATATATATTATTATTATATTATTATATATACCCAGTGTGCTAAAGTATTGTTTTTGTGTACTCCGTCCAGAGTTCCGTGACCCGTCCGGGATTGAGTACAATTCCTACGCCTTATGCCCCCGCTGTTGCCCCGTGGATCCCGGCAGGGGGTCCTTGGACATGACTCAGCTACATTTTCTCATCGATGAGTGCGCACAGGTGAGGCAGTGGGTGGTTGGCGGGTGCTCTGGTGTGGTTAGCTTCTTCTTTCCTATCAAACATCTGTCGTCCTTATCTCCCCTTCTTCTTTTTTTGTGTTTGTTACTCTCTTGTAACACCTCTTAATCTTCTGGCGCTCATATGACCTTATGCAATTGCAGCCGCCATAAAACCTCTACTGAAACTAAATACAGGTGAGAGCTGCTGTCTTGTCGAGTTCCCTGTGATAGATAAATCCTATGCTAATTTTTGTTGTTGTTGTTGTTGTTGTTATCGATCCAGCAACAGCTGGGCTCTCGCCCTTCTGTCCAATGCCATGTAGTGATAAGTGCAGGTTTGCTGCAGTTGCTGTAATGTTCTGTAGAGTGTGTTGTCAATGTTAGGTCTCGGAGGGAGAAGGGTAGCTCTGATGTCATTTGGGGCTGTACAGTGGAGCAGGTGATGATCCACAGTCTCATATGCATAGTCACACAAGGGACACATTGGGGGAAGTTCTGGGTTTATTCTGTTTTTGTTAAAAGTGTTTACTCATGTCCTGTACCGTGATGCAGGAGGAAAAAGGCAATGATGATGATAATGAATTTTCGTTTAAGAAGAAAGATTGTATCTACTCAATAGTGAATGCTTGGCTTTATAGCTGAAAAGAGGGAAAAACTATGTCAGAATGTTATGTGCTTTTCCTAATATTTGATGCTGTTTCACACATTTGAAAAAGTATAGGTTGTTTTTTCGTCTGTCCGACTTCTTCCTTGCTCTAAATGAAAGTGGGGGGCTCTCGTGGCCTAGAGGTTAAGGTGTTAGCCTCTCATTCAAAAGGTCCCGGGTTCGAATCCAGGTAGCGACCAAACAATTTTCTTCTCTAAAATTGTCTCCTTTCACCTACTTTTTCCTGCTCTCTAGCAATGTTCTGTTGTCTGCTTTCATTTCCACTTTCTGCCCCGCCCCCTCACCTCCTTTGCCCCCTCCTCTGGGCTCCTGACTCTTTCTGCAGCCTTTCTACTGTTACTCCTTGGTTCCTCCTTACTGCTGTCTTTCAGCCACACCCCTGATCTTCTGGTAGGAAAGATTTACACGTAGCCTTCTCGGACAAGTTGCACACGTTAAAGATCCCTTGGTGGTCTAAATTCGATAAGAGTAGGCTTCGGCCGCCACCCGGGCAAAATTCAAAATTTTCTACCAACTGAAAATATTAGGTGTGTCCCACGCGCTCATATGATCTTATGCAGTTGCGAGCGCCGTAAAACACTTTACAAAAACAAACAATAAGTGAAAGTTATTGTGAGGACGAGCTTTTCCTTTTTTATTTGGTACCGGTAAGTGTTTTACGGCGCTTGCAACTGCATAAGGTCATAAGAGCAGGCGGGACACATAAAACATTTTCAGTTGGTAGGAAATTTTGAATTTTGCCCTGGTGGCAGCCGAAGCCTACTCTTATCGATTTTAGACCTCCAAGGGATTTTTAACATGCGCTACTTGCACACGGGACCTCCGAGATTTTTCGCCCTTGTCCGAGAAGGCTAGGTGTAGATCTTTCCTACCAGAAGACCAGGGGTGTGGCTGAAAGACAGCAGTAAGAAGGAGCGAAGGAGAAGCAGTAGAAATGCTGCAGAAGGAGTCAGGAGCCCAGAGGAAGGGGCAAAGGAAGTGAGAAGGTGGGGTCAGAAAGTGGAGACGAAAGTAGACGACAGAACATTGCTAGAGAGCAGGAAAGTAGGTGAAAGGAGGCAATTTTAGGTAAGAAAAATTTTTTGGTCGCTACCTGGATTCGAACCCGGGACCTTTGAATGAGAAGCGAACACCTTAACCTCTAGGCCATGAGAGCCGCCATGCTTCTCTTTACTCAAGCAATCTTTCTCTATTGCCAATCTTCCTTCTGTTCATTTTTAGATGGTGCTGTCGAAAAATCACATGGTGTGTGAAAGAGGACCCATATCTTTGGAAGAGCTGGTGCCAGAATTGTTTTTCAGTGAACTTCCTTCTGCTCTCAAAATCTGCCACGAAGACATCGAGATATCACAGGAGAGTCTTGGCCGCGGCATGACAGGAAGTGTTCACAAGGTAACTGTTGGCGTGACGTCCGTCACATTACTCTTAACTCTTTAACCATGCAATTAAAAATAACGTTTCCGCGTAATTCTCTCGTGTTTGTGGAAATGCGACCCGACATATTACGTTTTTAAAACCGCTTGTTTCGTGTCAAACTGTTCGATAAAGCATTACCCAGACGTAGAATTCATTTATCTTTGACTTCCAGGTCAAACTAAAGGCTTATTAGTTCGTATTTTTTTTATATTTGGCTCGTACCATAATACAATAATAACTTCGCATCGGACGGTGGTACCATCCAGCCGTGGTTACGGACTTCAACTACCGGACGCTGTCTTGGTCCAGACATGGTTAAGAAGTTAATAATCTTATTCAAAAGGCTGCATAATGGCGACTGCAAATGCCATGTTTATGAAATTGCCTCTATTGATGTAATATTGTGCATTTAGTATCTTTTGTCGGTATATGTGTGTATGCATGCACATGTTAGAGCCTACGCCGTCTTGGTAGAGTGTAAAGGGAATAAATTTAATCTTTTCAGTTTCCAAAAATTAGTCGAAATTTCCTTTAGCGTCCAACCGCCCTCAAGGGCCACTTGTCCAAGACAATCAATCACCTGTACAAATTTTCTGTCCCCGTGGTTTTATGCACCCCGCATAATTTAGCAAAATTTGATAATTTTTTGCATAATTTCTGATTGTTTTCCTTGATCATTCTTTGTTGAAATTAACAGAATCGCATTATTTCACGATTTTGGGCTCAGTTTGCATAATTTCAGATTTTTTTCCGATTGTTTTCCTTGATCATTCTTTGTTGAAATTAACAGAATCGCATTATTTCACGTTTTTGGGCTCAGTTTGCATAATTTCAGATTTTTTTCTTGCATAAAATGACGGGGACAAGTAAAAGGATGGAGTGAAACAATTAGCAGGAAGGCAATTTTCAGTTTCTGAATTCTATTTTTCTATTAGTTTGTTGTGCTACTGACATTTTTTAAGACATGAGTGAGCGGGCTCAGAAAGTTGTTAAAAATATGGTCGCTTTTAAGCACAAGGGGGCTATCCAGATAAATGCTGTTTTGAGAAAATCAAAGGTAAAGTTTTTGCCCCTTGTTCAGTTTCTTAAAAAAAAACAAAGACAGTTTTCTCAATAACCAAACAAATATACACACCAATGAAACCAAACTTCTCCTATAAGTAGGGAAATGCCCACTTTTGGTGTAGGTCAAGATTTCTGGAAACCCCCGCAATCTGGGTTAGCCCGCTTGTCCTTATAAGTGACAATATGAATTGTCTGTTAACATTTTGCATTCTGTGCTCTCTCTGCTAGGGCAAGTGGAAAGACAAGGATGTGGCCATCAAAGTGTTCTACGCCAGGTCTGTCGTGGTGGTGTCTGATGATTCGGACAACCCTCTGTATCCCAACATGAAAGATGCCTTCCCAAATGTTGCTCTTATCAGACGGGACCAGGATCGAGCGGAGGCTGAACAGAGGAAGGTTCTCTTCCTTTTTTCTCTTTTCTGTGTTTTCTTGTAGTGTTTTAACCCTATCCGTACGTCGTGTTTTACTGTCGTATCCGTATGAGGTGGGGTACTCTGTGCCACCACTTTCTAAAGTTTAAATTTACTCGTTAATCTGATCCGTACGCTTTGCATAGTAGTCTGTCTAAATGATTTTTTGAGAAATACTGAAAGTTTCAAAGAGATCTTGGTACTAGAAGTTAGTAGAAGTGTTCTAAAATGTGAAGAACACCGTACAACCCTGGTGGTACAAAATGACCCCATGGCGTAAGGATAAGGTTAAGGAGTGTAACAGATTGAAAGCTATTGCAGGTAAACGTGGCTTTTTTCAGAGCATCCGAGCTAAGGAATGAAAGGAGAACCATGATCACCGATGTCTGTCGCAGATCTGGCACTGGATGATGGTGATGATTCTCTTTACTTTGACCAGAGTTAGTGGAATGTTGAGTGGGCTGAATGTAGTTAGCAAGATTAAGTTGTGACTCTTTTGTCATCCTGATGCAGTTGCGGGTGCCATAAAACTCTTACTAAAACAAAAAACTTTTGTCCTGTTCATCAGTCATTCCTCTGTTGTTTTCTCTTTCACACAAAGAAAGAGAGTGGGTTGTTGGCGGGTGCTCTGGTGTGGTTTGCTCCTTCTTTCCTACCAAACATCTATCGTCTTTATCTTTCCTCCTTCTTTTTTGTGTTTGTTACTCTCTTGTAACACCTCTAATCTCTGGCACTTATTGTGTTGCGAGAGCTCTTATACTCTTACTAAAACTTAACTAAAAAACAAAGAGATATAAAGTCCCAATTTTAATATATTTCTTATTTTCCTAGATCAGCAACGCTTTTTCTGAAATGCGAAGAGAAGTTGGCATTCTCAGCAAACTGAAACATTCTTGCATCATCGCGTTCATCGGAGTGTGTGTCCGTCCAAAGCTGTTGGTCCTAATGGAGCTTGCGCCGTTGGGAAGCCTGAGAAAGGAACTTGATAAGAGACGACCAGCCTCTATGTTGGATTCTGAAGGAGAAAATGCTGTGGATAAAATGGTCTTTTCCAAACACCTAACATACAAAATTATTCTTCAGGTAAGTATGTTTTGTTTTTGTTTTTTTGTTCTTTTGTCTGCATTTTTCACAATATAATCTCAGTTGAGAACAGGAAAACATGGAGAAGATAAATTCAAATGTCAGCTGAAGTCGTTTCTGTTTTTAAATTAATAAGATGAATATTTGGAGTAATTTTCTTTAGTCAGAACACGTTTTATGTTACTGTTGTATGTTGTACTGTATTGTAAAGCACTCAGAGCCCGTGTACTTTAATCGGGGTTGAGCGCCATATAAATGTCATTTATTATTATTATTATTATTAAACGATAAAGGAAGAAACTAAAATGCTAGAGAGTAGCCTCAGAAACAACCAGGCTGAGAAGCACCAACAATGAAAGGAAAACAGTGGAAAAACAGGGCTTTGATTCACCTCGCTGACATGCAAGCACTGCGACGGAATCTGTGCTTCAAACGTAGGAAAAATTAGCCGTGAAAGAAGCTGCATGAAGAAACCCTGAGACCGTCTCAAGTTAAAATTGACCCGGATTGACCTTCTGCATAGATGAAAAGAGCCATCCAATTTTTCACAATATTGAAAAGAGAATGAGTAATGTCTTTTTTCCTTTCAATACATGAAATTTTGAGCATGAAATATTTATATGCCATGGGTGATCTTTTTCTCTAAAGTGGAATATAGACTGGTACTAGTTTTGTACTATCAATAATCATATGTTTACCCATAGAGTAAGATTTGTGAGGTGTGCTGACATAATGTGTTACTTCTTAGATTTTAGCCCGATGGAAATAGGTACGTAAAATTTACAAGTTAAATTTTTACACATTATTAGTATGAAATAATGAAAGACATTTTAAACTTGAAGAGAATGGCATTGGTTTAGAATCTACAAATATCAACCTTGTTTTGGTTATTTGGCTGATATCTCCATTTATGGATTGCCAAAAGTAACTCATTTTGTCAGCACGCCTCACATTTGTTGTTGTTACTTGGAACATAAAACAATGTTCAACACTACTAACCTTCTGTCTGCCTGCCTGCGCCTACAGCTCGAGTTATCCAAACCTGTTTCTCTGTGTGTTGTGATCCTTTCGTCTGCTTTGGGGCCCCGATGCGTTGGAATCTCACACGTTACACACAAATGAACCGAGGCTCCAACTAGCCTTTTCTCCACCTATACTCTCAGCAGGCCTCCTCTGCTTGATACAACTCTCTCCTCTAAAGTTCCACCAGTAGTAACTCAGACTGCTTTTATAAACTTGCAAACAATACAACTGAATAGAGACTCACACTTTACTCACTCTCACACTTTCAGCCAAACAATACAATAGGCTAGGCCTAACCCCCTGCCACAACCAAAAACAACCTAATAGACCACATTTGTAGATAACTTCCCCCCCCCCCCCCCCC